GCGCTCATTGTGAGCCGCGGCCCGGCGCGGCTCTAAGGCCATTGTGCGGCCGGGGGAGGGGGCGGGGGCGGGGCAGTCAGGGAGGGAGGGCAGTGGGGGCCAAAGCCGAGCCTCGGCCTCCGAGCCAGGCCTTCCAGCCGCGGGTGCAGAGGCCAGCCATCCGAGCACCCCCACCCCGCGCCCTGCGACCCGGACGAGCTCCTGGAGCCCGTCCCCATTCTGCTCGGCACTTGGCCATTTCTCAGTGGTCAGTATGGGCCCCACATCTCAGAGCTTTCCGAACTGAATCTTAATCGCACGTACGCAGTCAGACGCATATTCTGTGATCGGCCCTAGTGTTTCCCCTCCCTGGCCCGATCTGTTGCAGTCCCTTCTAAGCTCTCCACTCGCATTCACCTCATGTTCCAGAGAGCCAACCAGCTAGCTGCTCAATCTTCCGGCCTCGGGACGACCCTTCTGGGGCAGGGCCTCATTAGCTCTCCCCCTCCTTCACCTGGGTATTCCCCACAGTCTCCACACATCCCTGCCCGAGTTCACGAGCGCAGATGTGTAACGACTTCCCAGGATGTCACCTCATACTTTACTAAGAAAATTAAGGTCATTTACCTTGAGTTCCTCCTCTTCTCTACATCTCAAAATTCTTGGCCAGATTCTGATGCAGAGGTGACCTTTGCCCTTGCCAAGGACAACCCTTTTGCTTGTGCTCCTCTCAGGGTTATCTTAACCTTCCATCTCTCCAAGACATTCTCCTTAGCTGCCACCAAACCCCCTCGGGTCTCCACCAGGCAATCGTGCCTTCAAACATTTGTCTGTGTGCTCTCTTTTCTTCCCACTTTCTCTCCTCTCTTATCACCTCTCTGCCCCTTGCATCCAGGTTTCCAACTTCATGACTCACCTGACACTTCACTCCTCTCTGGATTTCCATGGTACTTCTTGTTCTCCCTATAGAACATAAGCTTCTTGAGGACAGGAACTGGCACAAAAGGGCTTGGGCTTAATAAATGCCTGGTGGTTAATTCATTTCCAGGACTATATTGCAAGTCTATGTCACTCCCTTGAGGACAAAGCTCTACTTCTCTACCCACTGCTTCTAGGATAAAATATGACTGACTCACTGGTGGCCCTACTCCCCATGACCCCATTGGAAGTTTTCTTGGCAGAGATGCTGGAATGGTTTTCCATTTCCTTTCCTAGCTCATCTCACAGATGAGGAAACTGAGGCAAAGTGAAGTAACTTGCCCAGGGTCACATGGCAAGTAAGTGTTTGAGGCCTGATTTGAACACAGGAAGACAAGTCTTCTTGGCTGCAGGCTGGGCCACTCTATCCCACCAAGCCATCTAACCCTCCTGCTTGGCATTTAAAGCTCTTCACGGTCTTGCTCCAGGGCCTGGCCTTCCAAGCCCATTACCCACACCACACAATCCAACTTGCTGTGGCCAAATGCACTCTTTCATGCCCTATCTTGAAACATTTACCCAAGCTGTCCCCAACCCCAGAATGTTATCCCTCCAAACCATCTCCTCTTCCCCTTCAGAAAGGTTCAGCTCAAATGCCTCCTACTTTGAAGTGGCCTAATTCCCTCCACCCCAGGTCACTTTGTATTTATTTTGTATCCTTCAGTTATCCATAACCAGGTTTTATCCCAAGTAGGCTTTAAGCTCACTTATTTTTGTATCTGTATCTGCAGCACCTGGCATAACACCAGCCAGGAGAGGTTTAAGAAATACTTGATTGAAAACAAGAGAGTGAAAATTGTGTGCCTAGAAGTACAATGGAAAACAAGAGCTGGAAATCTCACTCAGACTGAATGTGCCACGTTTGGAATTTGGACTTGGGAAATAGGGAACAGCAGGTGGTGGAGACAATGAGGAGGGAGAGAGAGAGAGAGAGAGAGAGAGAGAGAGAGAGAGAGAGAGAGAGAGAGAGAGAGAGAGAGAGAGAGAGAGAGAGAGAGAGAGAGAGAGAGAGAGAGAGAGTGAATCAGGAGGCAGAATGCTGAGGACCTCACCCTATGGCAGTGACCCAGGCTGAGCCTGGGTCGGCATGTAGAGAAAAGGATGGATGGTGATGACTTCTGCAATCAACAGAGCCTGACCACCAACCAACATCAGGCATCCAGGATGACACCTGGGGCAGGGGGCTGGTGACTGAGAGAATAGTCCTTAGGACACGGAAAGGGATAATTCTGCTCCAGGTATGTGTCAGAAGGCTGTCAGACTGCCAGTGGATGGATTCTGGGCCCAGTCCTTTGTGAATATTCTCTAGGAGGCTTCGATCCATGATGGCAGCCAAAACCATGGATTCTTTTCAATGAGCAGCATTTATTATGAAAACAACATAAAGATGCACCATAACAGAAATAGGAATTAAAAGAAACAATTATCTTGGAAATGGCAATTACACTATTTTATTGAGCTTTCTAGCTCACATGCAAGCAGAGAAATGATGAAATTACTACTCAAGACAAGACCCCCAGGTCCTAAGCTAGTTATCAACTCTTCTGTGGGGCAACTCCCTACAAGCAGGTAACATTATCTCCACTCTGACACTCCTCCTGGTAACACCCACCTCCCTAGGAGCTCAGAGCCTGACACAAGGCAGCAAGAGTAAGAAAACAGCTTTAAGTAGGGTCGGTGATGCCTCAGTTCCCTAACAAATTCCATTAAGCAGCCAAAGGAAAATTAATGAGTCACCTGACTTTCTGAAACTGATGACTAACATTGGACAAATGTGTTGAGCCTCGAATCATGACTTTGGGGTGTGACTCGGGGCCAGAAACCTAACAAAGAGAGGGCACACCTCAGGTCTTGGAAGACCTTAACAGTTTACTCAGGATCCATTTTCAAGGGACTCCAAAATGAAAATAAATCCTAAAGGCAAGTCTCCATATGCCTAGTGAACACAAAGTACTTTACAGAGTAGCTTGCTTTTTGGGACCATTAATAATGCATGTGCCCATTAGAACCTTTTGGAAGTCACCTTAGAAAATGACTGAACCTCAGAAGCAAATAGAGCATAAGCCTCGGTAGAGCCTCAATTCCTGGACCGGGAGACACCAGTCTGGGGAACCCATCCACAAGTATCCCAAAAGTCCAAGTGCAGTTAGTTCTTGGTAGCTTACAACCTGCACATGTGACTGATTACAAACCGGCTAGCCCACACCATGCAACTGTCAGCACCAAATGAAGTATGAAAGTGGGACCGGAAAGCCATCACCAAGCCTGATGCCCTACCCCTGTTTATGGGCCTCGTTGGCATTATTTTGCCAGCCCAAACAACATCCCTGCCAGAGAGCAAAAAAAAGGAGATACAGTAACCTCCATTTTTCCTTCCAGCTGGTGAACTGTTTAAGAGGAAGGATGGGAAGACAGAAATGAGACTAGCTGAGGGAGAATCACCCTCCTGGGCTGGGAAAGGACTGAAGGATGGTGATATTGTACTATCATTATGAAAAAGCAATGGATTGGCAGGACTGTCCAAGGGATCACCAGCCTTAAGCTTAAGAAGGCCTTCAGAAAGGTCACGAGGGTCTTAAACCTCTGTATCCCAGACGAGGCAGGAAGGTCTATGGTAAAGACTGACTGGGAAAGGCTTAACTAAACGAGATCTAGTGGGAAAAGGCAAACCTAGTAAGGGGAAACTCTGCCTGATGAACCTATTATTCATTGAGACCAAAGGGAAATCTGGTAATAGAACTTTTTGGACTTTCCAAAAGATTGTGACATGGTTCCACACCAAAGGCTGGCTGGCTGCCAAAAAAAAAAAAATGAATCATGAGGAGATGGGGAAACTTTTTTCATCACAGATAGGGAACTGGCTTAAACTCAAGAAACAAAGGGTCATTATAAAGTGGGCTGTCCCTGCAAGGAGCTCTCTACTTTATGAAGTTCCTCACAGATGGGGGCAGGACCATTTGTTACATGGCTATCCACAGACCAGAGGAAAAAGGCACACCTAGCAAGATCTCCAGCTTCGAGGGATTCTTCTGGATAATGATATACCAAGCTGAAAGGGATAAACTATAACAACAACTTTGCGAATCTGTTCATGAGGACCCGGAAGATGGTATATGGGCTCCCACGTGGGAAAAAAATAATGCAGACTACATGCATGAAATGGGATCTGAGCTGTGATGGCCAAGAATAAGACCGAGACATCAAGAACCATTCCCCCCAGACCTGGGCCCAGTATACTAGGACCAAGAAGAAAACTGGAAACAAAACAGAAAATGTTAATCTCCTTTTGTGCCCAATTATGCAGTATCCACATCTGGAATGCCATAAGTAGTTCTAGGGATGGGGTGGAGGGAGAGGGAGGGAGGGAGGGAGGGAGAGAGAGAGAGAAAGAGAGAGAGAGAGAGAGAGAGAGAGAGAGAGAGAGAGAGAGAGAGAGAGAGAGAGAGAGAGAGAGAGCGTGCTACAATGACCTAGGGAATGAGGACAGACTAAAAAGACTGGGAACTCCAGTCTGTTAAACTAAGCACTCAGAGGGGAAATGACTAAAATCTATTAAATTACCAGCCTCAATAAAAGTAGACTGCCTCACCAAATCTCAGCAGACTAGAACTGAGACTAGAAGGGTAGACTTTGAAGCTTGAAAAGAAACAGAAGGAAATCCTACCTTACAGAGAGCGCAGCACAGTTACTGAATGTCATCATTTGAAGAGGTGCTACAAAGGGCTGATTTTCAAAAGGTTTGGATAAATTCATGGATGATGGACTTATAATGGAATACGAAGGAAAACTGATTATATTTGGGGCACATCCTTATATCCCAAAACCCATCGAGAAAGACAACAATGACCTTCCTCAACGTATTCCATAGTAACTATGGAATAGAATACTGTGTTGAATTAACAATGGGTCTGATGCAGTAAGACAACTCTCGGGTTCTAATAACCTTACTTTCAAGGCAACTGAGAAGAATGAATTCTCTAATATTCCAAAACAACAGAATGATCAAATGTGTGCCTTATTCAAGACTAAACTGCCATAATACAATCTATACTACATAGCTCCATCCTTACCATCCCATCTTATCCCGGGCATGGTGAGCCTCACTTTACACGGATCAAGTAAGTACGAAGATGAATACGGTATATTAGACAGGGAGTGAGGCATAGCCCAAACCCTGCTGAGAGTGACAAAATCTAACACCGGGACATCAGGGAAGCCTCCACCCAGCTGCCCCATCCACGCCGTTCAGGTCACTGCGCCATCTGTACCACAACGGCTTTCCAGGCTTTGTCTTTGTCAAATTCCTTCAGTGTGTTATTGGATACCTAGAGAGCAAAATATTTTAACAGTTATTCCATCGAATATTTATTGTACTTAAAACTGAAATGTTAAACTAAGTTTCATTCCTCAAATTACATCTAATACCCAACTTTGACTGTAACCATGTGATCAATGTTTGATATTTTAACTTAGTTAAAATTAGTTCTTTTCCTCTAGTGAAAAGGCAAAGGAAAAAAACCAGGCACTTGAATGACTATGGAAGTGAGTCTATCCGTGGAGTTTTCTAACATTCTCATGAACCAAAATCCTACTCTAATCTCCTAGTAACTTTATACACTCTTGCCTCTCATCTTTTCTATCTCTCTCAAACGTATAATTCTATACCTTCCTTGAGTATGCCTCCATCCTGCATCCCCGGTGCCCCTCCATCCTGCATCCCCAGGGCCCCTCCATCCTGCATCCCCGGTGCCCCTCCATCCTGCATCCCCGGAGTCCATCCTGCATCCCCGGTGCCCCTCCATCCTGCATCCCGGTGCCCCTCCATCCTGCATCCCCGGTGCCCCTCCATCCTGCATCCCGTGCCCCTCCATCCTGCATCCCAGGGCCCCTCCATCCTGCATCCCCGGTGCCCCTCCATCCTGCATCCCCGGAGTCCATCCTGCATCCCCGGTGCCCCTCCATCCTGCATCCCCGGTGCCCCTCCATCCTGCATCCCCGGTGCCCCTCCATCCTGCATCCCGGTGCCCTCCATCCTGCATCCCCGGTGCCCCTCCATCCTGCATCCCCGGTGCCCCTCCATCCTGCATCCCCGGTGCCCCTCCATCCTGCATCCCCGGTGCCCCTCCATCCTGCATCCCCGGAGCCCCTCCATCCTGCATCCCCGGAGCCCCTCCATCCTGCATCCCCGGAGCCCCTCCATCCTGCATCCCGGTGCCCCTCCATCCAGCATCCCCGGTGCCCCTCCATGCTGCATCCCCGGTGCCCCTCCATCCTGCATCCCCGGTGCCCCTCCATCCTGCATCCCCGGAGCCCCTCCATCCTGCATCCCCGGGGCCCCTCCATCCTGCATCCCCGGAGCCCCTCCATCCTGCATCCCCGGAGCCCCTCCATCCTGCATCCCCGGTGCCCCTCCATCCAGCATCCCCGGTGCCCCTCCATGCTGCATCCCCGGTGCCCCTCCATCCTGCATCCCCGGTGCCCCTCCATCCTGCATCCCCGGTGCCCCTCCATCCAGCATCCCCGGTGCCCCTCCATCCTGCATCCCCGGTGCCCCTCCATCCTGCATCCCCGGTGCCCCTCCATCCCGAAGCCCTAAGTTTTGCTACTACTTCAAACAATAAGCAAGTGTAGAAGGGGTCAGGCAGGGTCTCAAGTATCACATCATATAGTTGTATTATCAGCTATGACCGCACATCTCCCTTCCCTTTCTCAGCTGAATTCCTTGAGACAGTAGTATCCCCTTCATTTGGGGCCCACTGCCCTCTGTTCTCACTCAGCTGAACCTGCCCTTTCCAAACTTATCCAGGCTCTTCTACTTGTTAAATCCAATAAGCTCTTTTCAACACATCCTTTATGAGAACCTCATCTGCAGCATCTGTCCACATTGACCCCCTTCTTCTAGATGCTCTGGTCTCCTCCCTGGGTTGTCATTGCTCCTCCTTCCCCGAATCTCCTCTGCTGGTTCTTCATATGTGTCATGCCTGGGGTTGCCCCCTCAGCCTCTGTTCTGGATCCTCTCCCCTCTTCTCTCTCTGTGCTCCCTTAGTGATATCATTAACCCCAATGGGTTCAATATCATCTCTCTGTACATGATTCCCAGATCCATTCATCTGGCCTCATCACTCTCCCCGAGCTCCAGTCCACATCACCAAATGCCCACTGAACTGTCTGAAGAGCCATCTTCCCCCCCAGCCTCTCCTCTTCTGAACATCCCCGTTGCTGTGAAGGGCACTGTCATCCTTTTCAGTTACCCAGGCTCACAACCTCAGTGTCATCCTAGACTCTGGTTCGTCTCCTCACATGTATAATGGCCAAATCCTGCCATTTCTTTTGTTATGCTATCTTGTGAATAATTCCCCTTTTCTCCACTCACATGGCCACCCCTCAGCTCAGGCCTTTGCCACTTCTTGTTTGCATTATTACAATAGATTTTTTTTCTAATTGCTCTCTCTCCCTGCTACAATCAACCTTCCAGTTGTCAAAGTGATTTTTCTAAAGCACTAGTCTATGTCACACCCCTGCCTCACAAATTCCAATGGCTCTCTAGTATTTCCAGGACCAAATATTCAAGCATAAAATTCTTTTGTTGGGAAAAGTTCTTCCCAACATGGTCCCTTCCGACCTCACCAATCTTGCATTCTGCTCCCCTCATACACTCTACAGTCAAGCCCAAACTGGCCGACTTGAGGTGCATCATGCATGCCTCTCCAGCCCTGATCTCCACATCTTTGCTCTGGCCATTCCCAGGTGGTGGAATGCCCTCCCTCCTTTCCACTTCATCTTTTCCTCCCTGGCTTCCTGGAAGACAAGCAAGCGTCCTCTGCCCCCCGACTCTACTGGCTGTTAGCACCACCCCCTCTACAGCCCCTGCATGTAGTCTGTATTTCACTTGTGGGTCCTGGCTTGTCAATGTGGTTTCTCTTATAAGAATGTAATCTCATGGGCAGCGGGGACCAACACTTAGCCCAGTGCCTGTCAAACAGTCAGCGCTTAATAAATGCTTAACGATCGATGGATTAATAACATACAGCTCTACGTCACTGAGGCAGCAAAGGGAAGAACGCTTTTCAGAACAAATCACAGGGTTAGAAATGCTTTCCTGATTCCATTACAGAGAAAGCCAAAGTCACCAAACAGAAAACACTCACCTCCACGGTTTGGTAGTCTTGCTTGTTTATCGGGGAGCCCTCCCAAGATGAGTCTTGCAACTTCATTTTAACTTTATAACTAACACATTGTATGACAGTGCCAATGGTAAGGAAAGCCTGGATCAGCAGCAGCAGCATTAGAAGCAACAGAAGGACATCATAGGATTGCTGAAATGTACAGGGCCAAGAGCAGACTTTAAGTGACGAAGCTGAGGAAGCTAAAAAATCATGCTCGGGCAAAGAACACACTGGGGCCTATAAAACTCAGCTTCTCGGGCCCTGTTCAGGAGTAGGGCTTTGGGTCTTTGGGTTTGCTTTCCTCAATTTTAAAATGAAGGCACGCGACTCTATGAACTCTAATGTCACGTCCAGAATGAGACAATCCTGTGGTCTGGCAAAGCCACGAGAAACAATTAACCAAGAGTGACCCAGCTGCCCAGTCAACAGACAAAAGTGGGAAGAGGTGGGCTCGTGAGATCATAGATGTAAAGTAGAGGAGGGATGTCGGAGCCACTGGTCCATGGCCACCCTAGTCCAGCACATCCGAGCGTATGTTTCATCCATACAAGACGGGGGGGGGGGAGGGCAGAGATTATATCCTACCAAAGCTTCGCGTTTAAAATAACACCCACTCTGTGAAGACATCTCTGCTTCCCACTCTATCCCCTTCCGAACTCACAACATATTTTGTAACTCTGTAATGCACTTTTAGTGGAATACTCTATATTACAACTCTCTGTCTTATACTCTGTAAGCTCCTTGTGATCAAGTGAGACGATATCTGTAAAGCACTTGGCCAACTTTAGAGTGCCCTGTAAGACGTAAGCTGTGTTGTGACTGTTGTAATATCTGTATTGCACTGTCACTTTGTATCTCCAATAGTGCCCAGCAGATCCCTCCAAAGAGCAGGCATTTAATAAATGTCTGTTGAAATGGTCTTGTTTGTCAAAGAAGAAATGTATGTTATCTACCCACCATAAGACAAAATGCTTCAAATTACTAATAAAAAGAAAAAGGAAACTTTTAAAGCTCCGAGGTTCTATCTCTCCTACCCATCACACCGGCAAAGATGACAAAAGCAGAAAATGTCAACTGCTGGAGGGGCAGTGGGCAGGGGGTGGGGGGGTGGGGAGGAGAGACACTAAGGCTGGTAGAGCCAGGAATTGGTCCAGCCAGCCTGGAAAGCAACTGAGAATTATCTTCCCAGAGTCACTAAACCATGTGCTCCTCTAACTCAGTAATACCACTCCTAGTGTTGCCTCAAAGAGAGAGAAACGGCCCTCATTGGTACGAGGACGCTCACAGCAGCATTTTTGTTGACGCCAGTAAGTGCAAACAAAGCGAGTGCCCATCAGGTGGGCACTGGCTGAACAACAGTATGCAAATGATACGGCGCATCGCTGTGCTGTAAGAAATGAGGAGTATGGCAGACTTAGAGAACCCGTCCGTTTTCATTTTCATGGGTAACACACAGAGCAGAGCAGCACCTTTTGTTATTCCCTGAAAAGGAAATCAATGACATACATACTTTGATTGCTGGCGGATAATCTTTAAAGATGGCAACAATTTTCATCACGCTGAGAGACAAATATCCAGAAGCTGTGAACAGTAGTGGAGAAGTGATGCTGCATATTGCAGTCAGAACTTCCACCTAGCCAAAGCAAGACAGAGACGTTACATTCTAGGTTCAGGACTCTCTCGGCCACCAAAGGACAGAGGGACGCCCTCCTGATGAAAGAATGAGCAAGCAGCAGCAGAAGGGATCACGGCAGTCCCCGGCCCTGCTTTCACCTGTTCTGCCTTCATTTCTCACTAGCAGGTTGGACCCTCCTCTAACAATGCAGACCAACAGCTCTTCTTGCCTGAGGAAGGGGTTCGGGGCATTGGTGGCTGCCTGTCAGTGACTTCCCCCTTTCGGTGTAACTGTGCTAGCTAGCCCTTGTTCAATCAAGCCTTTCTCGCTTGGTAAAACCCAACAGTATCTCCACTGGCACTGCATTCAAGAATCAGGCCACGGCCATGACAGGGTGATGTGTCAGAGACAAGAAGTCAGTCTCTACTTACCAAGCATTTACTTGGATATTCAGCTGCCACATGACTAGCAATGGCACTTGGAAAACACTGAGAAAAAAAGGAAAGACACATTTTCTGATAGTACGGCTTTATGCTGTTTCCATTACAGATCAAAATTCCTAATTCCCAACAAGTGCTATTTTCCACAGTGAATACCAAATGAGAACATACCACAGCGTGAATCTGTACAAGTACTCCAATGTACAAGTTAGATATTTAAGAGAAATGTTTGCATAGTAAACATAAAGAGGCAGGTCACTTTTGGTCTGAGTATCCCATGCATCAACTGTGCAAGAAAGATAGGGCTCATCAACTAGGGTGAATATGTCATTTCAAAAATGCAATTTTGGAGGTTAAAGAAGAGCACTTGTTTCAAGAAATCAACTCTACCCCTTTGGAATTGTATCAAATTTTGTGAAATATATTTATTGTAAAGTCAGTATGAAATTTTCTACGTGGCTTTACAAAGTATCATATGGGTGAATTCATCAATGAATGAAAAATGAGAGGGAAACTTTGGAAAGATTAACATATACATACACACACACATATTCAGATGTTAGAAATTCCAGATGTTATGAAATCTACCCAACTCTTTGTTTAAACTATAGGAAAAGGGCAGCTGGGTGGTGCAGTGGATAGATCACTGGCCCTGGAGTCAGGAGGACCTGAGTTCAAATCTAGTCTCAGACCAGACACTTGACACTTATTAGCCTTTAGACCTTGCGCAAGTCACTTAACCCCGACTGCCTCACAAAAAAATAAATAAATAAACTATAGGAAAAACCTCACAGATTAAATCCACTCAAGCTTTTCCTGACTGTAAGACTGTCCCTGACTACTTTTCAGAAGTAGAAGGAAACTGCGACTTTATTGCTAGGTTTACAATACCAGCCTCCCCTTTTCTTCTCTAAGTACAGTAAATCAGAATGGGTCAATAAGTCAAACTGTGGCTTGTTTTCAAATATGAGGTATTTTGTGGGGCTCAGGCAGCTCCCAAGGTCACTGTGAGGATCAAACAAGATGATCATGGGATCCTAATTCCAGAACTAGAAGCGACCTCAGAGGCCTCATTTCAGAGACGAGGACAATGAGGACCTGGGCAGTAAAATGACTTGGCCAAAGTCACCAGGGTAACGCGTGTCAAACCTGGGACAGGACCTCAGTTCCTCAGACCCTGAGCCAGGGCTCGCTCTTTGCTTTCCAAGAACTAGGGGATCATGGATAGAGAACAGGAAGGCACCTCGGAGATCCCTGGGCTCAACTCACTAAACTGTAGAAATAAGGAAAGTGAGGCCCAGAGTGGCGAAGCAAGCGAAGTGCCAGAGGTGCTCTGTCCATCTCCAAGAGCCCGATAAATAGCACATAATTAGAGCTGCAGCTCTGGGGCCTAGGGCAGCTATTTCCTAGTGGTTTGAACACAGGTGGGCAAGTCCCTTAACCTCTCTCTGACCCAGTGTCTTCCTCTGTAAAATGCAGATAATACTTCCATTCTCTGTACATGAAGACACAAAGGGAGACGATGCCAACAAGAAAGCGAAATGTGATTTTTCTAAAGAGACCAACGAAGACCGCCAGTGACTGTCCGTATGCAGCCCTCTCCACGTCTGTCTAACCCTTCCAGGCCCAGGTGCAGGACTCGTTTGTTCTTTCCTTCTCTCTTTTTTTCTTTCGGTTTGTTTTTGTGACTGTTCATTTGTCGAACCCAGATTTCATCATACATTGTGGACTGAATAGTTAGTTATGATAGTTACAGGCCATTTGAAATTACTTAAATTTCACATAACGTAGTATTGAAAACAGTCTAGTCATTTTATTCTTTGGACCAAAATGAAAAAAAAAATTCAAGTATTTTTCCCCCTAAGATGAGACACTTTCTCACACTAGAGATAAAAACTTGGGGAAAAGGCTTCAGGTGTGTTCATGATGAAAGGAAGTGCAGGAGAGAGAGAAAATCATGAGGCAGGTCTCTAAAGGGAAAGCAGCTCCCTGAGAACATCCCCAGGCAATGTGGAGCTCTGTCTGGTGCTGCAGCCCAGCTCCATCTCCAGAGGGCCAACGGGCAAACAAACCAGAACTGAAGACTCCGGCTCAGGCAGACCTTTCTCAAACTTTACTTGCATGTGTTGATTATACACGCTTAGGTCAACTGAAATTTTCTTCTAATTGTTTCCAAAAAACAACTTAGCATCTTATTAGCTACCATTTTGCTCCTTAATCTTTAGGGGCATGCTCTTTCTCCCCAATAGCCTCTAACCTCCCCGTGGAAGGGAGCTGTCTCTGATACTTCTTTTCTCTTACATGACTCCAAGCTGGGCAGATCGTAAATTCTCAATAAACATTTGCTGATTGATTTTTTTGGATTAAGTAGAAATATCCAAGGGAGAAACCCTGTTTATCTAATAAGCCACACACAGTTGGGTACAGAAATACATTTTACTCAATAGGAAAAGAGGAAAGAGGCTAGAAGGAGGGTAGATTAAGGGAGGAATTCCTTCTAAGCAAGTTAGTAAAGATATGCAAAATAGTTATAGCTCTTTTTGAGATGCCAAAGAATGGGAATCTGAGGAGGCGTCCACCAGCTGGGGACTGACTGAACAAGGTATCGTACATAAGTGAGATGAAACACTATGGTGCTATAAGAAATGATGAAGGGCATCACACCTATCAGATTGCCCAACATGACAAAACAAGTAAATGATAAATGTTGGAGAAGATGTGGGAAAATTGGAACACTAATGCATTGTTGGTGGAGTTGTGAAAGGATCCAACCATTTCAGAAAGCAATTTGGAACTATGCCCAAAGGGCTACAAAAATGTGCATACCCTTTGACCCAGCAATAGCACTTCTAGGGCTGTATCCCAAAGAGATCATCAAAATAGGAAAAGGACCCACATGTACAAAAATATTTATAGTGACTCTTTTTGTGGTGCCAAGAATTGCAAATTGAGAGGATGCCCATCAATTGGGGCATGGCTAAACAAGTTGTGGTATATGAGTGTAATGGAATACTATTGTTCCATAACAAATGATGAGCAGGCAGACTTTAGAAAAACCTGGAAAGACTCGTATGGACTGATGCTGAGTGAAGTGAGCAGAGCCAGGAGAACATTGTACACAGTAACAGCTATGTTGTGTGATGACTAACTTTAATAGACTTAGCCTTTCTTGGCAATGGAAGGATCTAAGCCGTCTCCAAAAGTCTTATGATGGAAAATGCTCTCCACATCCAGAGAAAGAACTATGGAGTTTGAATCCAGATCAAAGTAGACGATTTGCCATTTTTTTCTTCTGTTGTGTTTTATTTCCTCTTTCTTGTGGTTCCTGTATTGGTTCTGATTCTTCCTTACAACATGACTAATGTGAAAATATGTTTAATAGGAATGTATACGTAAAGCCTATATCAGATTGTGCGCCATCTTGGGGAAGAAGGGGTGGAGGGAAGGGGAGAAAAATTTTAAACTCAAAAGCTTATGGAAGTGATTGTTGATAAATCAAAATAAATTAATAAAAATTTTGAAAAAAAAATAATGAAGGGGATGGTTTCAGAGAAACCTGGGAAGACTTACATGGACTAAGGCAGAGCAAAGTGAGCAGAACCAGGGGGACAATGTATACAATAACAACAACACTGTAGAAAGACTCAGTGACTCTGATTCCAGAGGACTCGTGATAAAAACATGACCCACCTCCTAATGGAGAGGGGAAGAATTCAGGGTACAGAATATAAAACAAAATTGGAAGGCTGCGTGTGGCATGGCCAATGTGTACATTTGTTTTCTTAACTATACATGTTTGTAATGGCTTTTGTTTCTCTTTAGTGCTCAATGTGGGGTGAGGGGTGGGGGGGGTGGAGGAGAGAGTGAGAAGGTGAATTTCTGCTGATTGAAGAAGAAGTAATCTACAAGAAAGTTTCTAAAAGGATAAAAGCACAGAACCAGAGGAGACCTGTAAACATTAAAACCTGCTCTCATTTCTGGTCTTTGGTTGTTTATTCCCCAGATGCTGCTCAGATGTCAAGGATTAGCTGACAGACTCTCCCTCTTGCACAGAATAGCCTCCAAAGGAACAGTGTAGAGACCCCTTCTCTTTATCTTGTCTCTACTTTCTCCAGAGCCACGGATGATTTCTGACTCAGATGAGCTCATTTCAGTCTCCTCCCTGCCAACAATTTCCCTCCCTATTCACGAGTTTCTCAGCTGTTTATACCTTTTGAGTGTCAGAGGAAGCATGTTTATTTTAAAGATGACTACACTATGTTGTATACATTTCCTTACTCATAGCCCTCCTAACAAGCTGCAAAATCTACAATCACAGGGCAGTGTCTTTTTTTCTTTATCTTTATGTTATTACAGTGACTTGCACATAGTAGGTGATTAATGAATATGCTGAATTTACTTTGTTAAGGTTTCTGTGAAAAGTAACCCAAAGCATTATGCGAATTGTAATGTCCCCATATTAACTAATCAGTCAACAAGCGATTATTAAGTGCTCCATAGCTTAACCCAGACATGCGTGGTAAAAAATGGATTATTTAATTCCTCAGTACTTACTGCCACCAAAATCCAAAAGAATGTCACTGAAAGGTATGGGCCTGAAACTAATACATCCATGTTCAAAGCAATTATACCACCAAACACTGCAGAAATTCCAACAATTATTTCAATAACCTGAAAAGAAACAGAAAAATAAAATGTTAAGAGCTATAGTAAAATTCAGTGAGCATTTACTATGTGCACCTACTATGTACAAAGCACTATGCCTGGTGTTTGGGATGCAAAGACAAAAGTCAAAGTCTTGCCCTCATGGAGCTTCTTAGTCTACTGACAATTAAATACAAAATCTATGACTAGAGGAACCTGGGGTAAGGTAGAACACGGCCAGCTGGGGAGGTCAGGAAGAGATCTCTTCCTACGGCAGGAGAAGGTAAACGTGGTGGGCCCAGGAGGTGAGCTGGCCTGGAGACAGAAGAAAGGATGTTCTGGGGTCATCTGCACAGAGCAGGGAAACGAACGAAAGAGAGGAGAGCAGAGGACAGGAGAGGACAGGAGCTAAGTTGCACACAGACTTAATTGACTGTTGAGCTTTTGTTTCATTGGCATTGCTCTAATACTTACAATTCCTATGCTGTAATTTGAGCCTGATACCATCAGAATTCTGCTTTTAATCATGCACAAATTTAAGAACTTCTTGGAGTTTCGAACTTCTGAATTGCAAGTCAGATGCTCTAATTCCACCCTGAGAGTTATCAAAAAATCCTGAGTACCTGTTAGCCCTACAAGCCAGAAACTCACAGAGACAGGCCCTTTGTCTACGACAACCTACACAAAACTCTGGACTGACCAGAGCTTACTGACCAGAGCTTAAAAGTTGGAGCACGTGGTAACAAAAGTGAGAAAACGTTTTGCACTAAAAATATCCCCCGTCGCTTCCTCTGCTATTACTAGCCCAGTTCCGTCCTCATCCCATAGAATCTTTCCTTTGGCACTTCTGACCACCCTTGCTGCCAGAACAAAGTCCTCCCCCCTGCCTTCCTTTGCTGCTGCCTCTGCCCACTCTGTATTCCACAGCTAGCTCTCACCAGCCTCCTGCCCCATGGTAACAGGAGGCAGAAATAGAGAAGGGAAAACTGGGTCACTTTTGTCACAAGAGAAGCCAACAACGTCACGGAAGCAGCAACACCAGTAGCTGCAACAGCAGAAAGAGCAGGTCCGCTCTCCTTATTCCTTGATTAGACTGTAACTCGGCCACAATGGAAGGGAGGCCCGACTCCTGCCTGGGGGCTGCTCCTTGGGACACAGCACAGGCTCCATCCTCCCCATCCAATTCTCTGTCCTCACTGTTACCTCCAATCCCTCTACCCTTCAGCACGGGGCCAAACCAACATTCCCACTCTGCTTACACTCTCCTTTCCACTGTCAAACTCTTAGTAAAACAATTCACGTCTACATGGCAGCTATGCCCTCCCTCGGGAAAATTTCACTTCTTTCGTTACTGAGAACACTTTTTTTTATTCTCTGTGAGCTTCCTCTTCCCGTCTTCTCCCATACCCCTTAACACTGCCCTTCCCAAATATCTTCCTCCTTTACTCCGGTCTGCGATAAAGAGAACCTTCTCCTCTCAAGCACAACCCATCTACACGTACGTCATGACCCCGTCTCTTCCCCCTCACTCTCTCCGACTGTCACGTCTCCATCTACTGCTTGCCGGTGACAGACACACCTGAGAAAACCAAATACTGATTTTATGTTACATTGGATCCCATTCTGTGATCAATTTAGTCTGTAACTGCCTACGCCACGTTTCCATGTTCACAAGTTCAGCTTTCCTCCCTCAGCAGTTGTCCTATACATCACCTCAATCCAAAGGACTATATTATGTCTACACATCTTACTGTCCACACACGATTAAGAGAGCATATCCGTGTACAATTTAGGGAGATGTTATCTCGACAACAAGCCTTGAAAGATGCAGGTGGGAGCCAGGAAGTCTTTATCTCTGCAACACTGGCTGTCCTTCAAGAACGTCAGGTCTGTTATCATAGTAACACTAACTAGCCATGGAGGTGGAGCTTTCCACAGCAACCAGATGGAAGGAGGGGTTGTTGCCAGCCCTGCATTCCAGACTTC